GCATCATAAATCTGTCAGAAGAGCATCTAAACGCGTGAAATTTGCTATTCTTCACACGTAAAAATTAATAAATATTGACACCGGAAATCATCGAAATCGGAGGACTATATCATTTAGCCGCATATATTTGATTTGTTCAGATATGAGAAAAAACATTTAATACCAATTAAAATATCTGACTTTTTACATTGTCATGATCGAAGGCAGCTCTTCTTTCTTGTTTCACTTTTTATTACCACCCTCCAACTCTTCAATCTCCAGTACTAGTTTCATCGAGGTATAATTCTGATAAGAGTTGTTGTCGGTGTTAAAAAAAATTCAGCTCACATTAGGGCTCTTTTTAAAACCAACTTTTGTGATGTCACAATTAATTAATAATTTTGAACGAAAGATTCGCTAACATTCTAAGTGAAGCATACTTTCAGTCGGAAGTTAATTGGAAAATAAAAATTTAAAGTAGCAACATTCATTCGAAGGTCTTTCTACAGAACTTCATCTTAATTTGTATGCGGTTAATTCAAGCGCCACGGTTGAGTGAGGCCCGAGACGTAAAAAATGTAAAACCTACATCAGTCTTGAATGAGAACTTTTAAATTCCCTGACAGTCACGGCAAATAGAGGACATATTACCTGCTATAACCGGTCAACTTTTCGATATGAGATGACTACAATTTAAGCCGTTACGTATCGCCGCCGAAGAAACAAATCTTTTTCGATAATATAATATCAAATAGAACGGACTGACTCGAGAATAATGCAGCGCTGTAGACGAGAGCCTTTCTGTCACAGTTGTAATCGACCACGAGACGAACAGTATTAGAAAAATATAATAAGATGATTAGGGAAGCGAGACGACTTTGTAGTGGGAAAATGCGGCAGGCTTAAAGCCGTCAGTACGAAAAAACTTAAAGAGATAACCGACGGAAGTAATGCTCGAAAATTCTTTGAAAAGAAGGTTTCAAAAACGGGGACGCTTCATGTGAGAACGAAATCTGCTTTGCTGCTTAGAACATAACGAGTTTATGAAAGGAGTTTGAAACATCATCGTAGTGATGAAGAAATTATTGGAGATGAGGATTCCTCAGTAGATAACGATGGCATAGAAGTTTCATTAGCCGACTATTATGAACTTCCTATAGCAATAGCTTACTTGGACAGAGTGGTGGGAGCGGCGACAGAGCTAAGCTATTCAAGCAGCCAAGTACTCCCAAGGTTGCATTCATATACCCTTTGTAGAATAGGAATATCATGAGTACACTCCGCTTAATGTCACAATCTGTGCATATAAGATCTTTTCTAATAGTGTATTGTGTAAAAAACTAAAGTCCATTTGACCAGACTACATCAGTGAGTTTTTAATTATTCATATCCTTCATGGAAACGAAACGAAATATCGCCTAACATCAAATAAACAGTTAGCAGTTTTTCTATCCCAACGCCTTCGGGATTGAATGTTTAGAGATTTTTTTTTATTGCAAACTGCCTACAAGTCCCAATACGTGCTCTCAATTGGTTCGTATTCTTTCTCAACTTTGTTGTCCACCAGTCTTATTCGACTTCAGTGGTGGAAGATAAATTGAAAGTGCAAAGGTGGCGCCGTAGAAACCAATTGTTCATAATTCCGTTTTGTCAATGCTAATTAATAAGTTTAGTCGCAGGAATGCATTGTAGCGCCGGTAATCCTTTACTCAACGAAAGACATTATCACCACTCACCGGCGTTTATAGTTTCTTGATTTCAGAGCAGAGCAGGTCAAAGCAGCTGGTTGTGGATAATTTCGCTTAATTGACTGACTCACTGATTGACTGGCTGGCTGACTGCCTGCTGGTATCCAACGCCACCCACTTTGTGGCGCCGCCTTGCCGCTGCACTACTTTGCACCATATTATCTTCAGCATTGCTTTGTTCATAATTTCAACTTTGTTGGTGGCGTGTGTCTGCGTATGCTGGTGTGTGTGTGGTGAGTGGTTGCTTGGTGCTTAGTGCTTGGCGCCGAGCAGGAATGGTTGTAGCTTTTAATTAGGCTATGAGTTGTTGTGTCTAACAGCTGGCAAATTATACGGCAAGTCGGTGGTGGGCGGATGTGGAGGCGTCATAAAATCCGCAACAACATCCAGCGCGCAGCGTGACGTAAATATATTTTCACTTATCGCATACGCCATGTGCGCCAAAGCAGCAGCCGCCGTCGTCGAAAGAGTTTCTTTTCTCTTGAGTGCCACATTACTCGGGTTACTGGGCTTTATTGCACTTTAGTCTTTGGAACAGTACGTACATTGTCAGCGTGTTTTAGTTCCAGTTTCAGTTTTGGTTTTGTTTTAATTTTCACCTTCTTGTTTGTTTTATATATTTCCCCCCTCTCTAGATTGTTGTATGGTTAAAATGTTAGTGATTATGGCTTTATTGCAAGCTTTTCGTGTTCAAGTTGCGTTTTCGTGTTGCAGGCGAATTATTTGTTTTACAATGGACATATTTATATTTGTGTGTAGTGTGTGCATAAACATGAAGTGCTTGCTACATGATTAGCATATTTATAAAAGTAGAACAATATAAATATGTAAGTATGTATGTAGATGACGAAGAATATCAGCGCTAGTACACTTGAGGTCTGTTTTTAGTTTATTTTTGGGGAGGGAAAACAATTTTAAAATGGTTCGGGGGATTCGGAGTTTACATTCTAAAGAAAAGTATTGTCTATCGTTAAAAAAATTTGTCTAAATTTTAAATGAACTCTATAATATTTCGATTTAAAAATCCTTAAGATATCTTTGAAAAAACTCTAGAATGTATCTTATGCTAGGTTAAGTTCTCTTTTGCCTTATACAACCTTTGTTGGGCCATGGGGAGGTCCGAGATGAAGTTGTCGTCAGAATACCTTGATTCTAGTTTGAAGACTAGGCCACTAGATTGTGGCCCATCATTATACTTACAACTGTTTTTAACTCTGAAGAGACTCATTACATATAAACCTGACTGTCTTGTATGCTGTTAAGATTTCTATCTCGCTCTGACTCGTCTTAATGCGCTCTCGTCAAATTCATTGTACACAGTCTTTAGCGTTTTTCGGTTTCCTGCACTTTTTGCCAATATCGTCAGTTAAGCTCCTATTCTTCTTCTTCACTGACATTAGCATGGAGAGCAATTAGAAAACTAATAGCTAGTGAAACCAGCTGGCTTTCCACTTGAGTGGAGTGGTGTTTTACTCTTCCTTCGCTTCAATCAAAACTGAATTGATTTCTTAAATTCAGCTTAACCGCAATCTCTTTATTCGATGAATTATGTTAAGGCCGTCGTATATCTCGCACAGCTTATGAGTCCATTGCTAGTGAAGATACATAAATCATCCACAATAACTCTCTCTCGGAAAACCCTTGTGCAGACACATCGGGCATCGACAGCTTAGCAGAACGACATTGACTTTTAGAGTTTTGGTTTTTATTTGTCGAGAGAGTAATTCCCTATTGGACTGCTATTGGCTGACCTTAGTGATTTTACATTGGATTTTAAGGTTGACATTGTTGTTGGATGAGTTGGTTTTATTATAGTTTAATGTGGTGTGGGTTAACACCGCGCTGTTTGGCGCCTGGAAAATCCGCTAGCTTTCGGGGTTCATTGAGATTCAACTCGGTTTAAGAGGCTAAGTGGGCTTCACAGCTTCTAAAAATCGATTTATTGTCATGTGAATTTCTACAACATCACGAGAATATTTTCGTAAATTTTCAAGTCGAACCGTATAAAAAATTCGGAAATACAGCTTTGGAGAGGTGCTCAATGGCAATCAGGCTCAGTTCTTTAAACTTCAAATGCATTTTTCTCGAAATTGGTTTTTCAAGGGTAGGTGTCAAACGATCTTGATGAAATTTTACACAGCTTTTTGAGATATAGTTCACGATGAATTGGATGCAGACTTGTTTTGGTTTTTCCATCACAACTATTTAAAAAAAAATGTTGTGCAAATTTTACCAAAAATCTGCCAAAAATGCAATTCTCATATTTTGTTATTTTCCTTCGTCTAAGCTCTAGTTCATGGTATTAAGTAAAATACGAGTTTCCTTTCTTCATTTCGGATGATTCTGTTCATGTGTTCTACTGTTAACACAGACCTGCCTTTTTTCCGCACTGTCACAGTATGTGACGTCACAATAGCGTAGTTATGATGCTGTCGTTAGAAAATTTAGGAAATTATTTTCAAATGTGTATTTTTAGTACAGTAAATAATTTGAAGAAAATATGAAAAAAAAATTAAAAATAAAAAAAAAAATTAAAAATAAAAAAAAAATTAAAAATAAAAAAAAAATTAAAAATAAAAAAAAAATTAAAAATAAAAAAAAATTAAAAATAAAAAAAAATTAAAAAAAATATAAAAAAAATGTGTTTTCTCACCGAATTAACCCATGCGACCCTATAATAGATTCCAGCAGCCACTCAATCAGCGACTTTAGATTAATTCGTCTCTCAATACTTAATTATCAACAGAAAATCTAGTTTTGGTTCCTTAGCGGAATAAGCTTAACCGCATTTTCATTGGTTTTGATAACTCTTAACATATAAAAAACACCACGACACTTTTTCCGTACTCATCCTACAGTGAAACATATTTTAAATAGAAGCACAGTGCACCTGCATTTCCTTATGTATATGATAATTAGCCCTTATTACTATTACTATTCCCATTCTTCCTTAGAGCGAGTGTTCTTAATTTCGAAATCCCCTGTTTTCCAAAACTTTCCAAGGATTTTTCCTACCATATACTCGTATACAAATATTTTTTCATATTTCAGTTCATTATTTCATCTAGTGTACATACACATGACATGCATTTGTACATATGTATATCAATTATTTGGTTAAACCTTTTATCGGCTTTTTTTTGTAATAAATATTTTTGTTTGGTTTTTGATAATGGTTTGCTGTTGTTGTTGTTTGTTGTTGTTGTAGCTAAATATTACTTGAATATCTAAAAATAAAATCATTTACTATGTATGTTTGAAACGCTTTCGCAGCTTTTGATTTCAAGTTTATACGGCGCGCATCTTCAAAAGTTCTATTGCCAAAACTTCCGTCCACAGATAGCTTGAGCAACAGTCCGGGTCCATCAACGCCAGGTGATTTATTTTTTCCAAATTTTCTAATCAATCTCTTTATACTATTTACATAGTTATTGTACTATATTTACACACAGACTAATAATAGCAATAACAGTAATAATAATAATAATAACATACAATTGGCAATAACAAATATTACTCGTACACGCAGCGTGAAAGTAAATAAATAAATACCGCTGGACTATTGTGAATTATGTATTATGTCCGAACTCTAAAACACTCAAACTTATAGATATATGTATGTATGTGTTTAACTGGTTGTATTATAAAAGGGTGTTTTTTTAGACGTGTGGTCTTCAAGAAAAAATAAAACGCATAGAGTTAAATTTTATGGCTAAGAATTTAGCTTTGCCATTATAAAGGGTGATTTTTTTAGCTATTATCTTTTTGGCAACACTGGTTTCAACAGCTGACGCACGTTTCGTGTTTGGATCACTGTCAAACATCTTTAGTTTGGTCTATAATTTAACCATGAGTCGTCTTGCAAACGAACAACGCTTGCAAATTATTGAATTTCATTATCAAAATGCGTGCTCTGTTAAGAAAGCTCATCGCGGGCTTCCTCCCCGCGCGCTTCGAAGCTCGTTTTTGGCTCAAGGGGTGCGTTAATAAGCAGAATTGTCGGTTTTGGAGTGACAAGATATCAAACTTTTCTTTGCCAAAAATGCAAGAGCTTGACTTGCATGACATGTGGTTTCAGCAAGACGGTTCCACATGCCTCACAACACGTGTAACAATGGACTTATTGAGATTCGAGTTCGGTGAACATTTTATTTCACGTTCGAGACCAGCCAATTGGCCGCCTAGATTGTGCGATTTAACGCCTTTAAACTATTTATGAAGAGTATGCCAAAATGGGACTAAACGGGTAGACCTTATGAGGCGCGGTGGACATTTGCATGAAATAATCTTCAAACATTAAATTATAAGGACCGTACTATCGATTCAAATAAAGATTTCATGCATTTTTGTAAATTTTTTCTTTTTTTGAGAAAAACTTTCCGGCAACTTTCCTTTCGGGCCCTGGCTGGCTCAAATAAATTTAATCCCACATTTCGATTACTTTTTGCAGCAATTGGAGCTGAAAATTTGTCGAATGTTCTTTTTCAAGAAAGTCTTCGGCTTATCTGCGCAGACAAGTGACTACACATAATCCTACAAAAAAGAATTCAGTGGTGTTAAACCGTACGATATTGGAGGCCAACGAGATAATGTGCTCACCAAAAATTTTCTTCAATAAATTGATTGTTTCGTTGGCTGTTAGGCTTGTGGCAACGATTGGTTGGAATCAAAGGTTGTCCACATTAACATCCCACAATTCAGGCATGAAAAGGTTCATGGCTCTAAAGCGTGAGCTTTTGGCTGTAGCATTATAGCCGCCATAATTAACCCTTTTGCCATTAGAGCATGCTAAACAGTAACTTTGTGAGGATGTGACGGCGTCTCGACAATAGTTTGTGGATTATCATCACTCCAAATGCGGAATTTCGTTTATAAACGTAGCAATTCAAGCTTCAAGTGAGCTTCATGGCTGAGTAAAATTTTCTTTTGGGAATTGGGGTCGGTGGCCATCTCATTTGGGGACCAATAACAGAACGTGCGGGGCGCTTGATGATCGGCTAGCACGGTTGGATTTTGTAAGCCCGCAAGCCAAGATCCTTCTGCAAAATCTTTCACAAAGTAGATAGGTCAAACTCCAATTGTTCTGTGCGATAGCGGATAGATTCATTCGTGTCTTCTTCAATACTCTGACTACGGTAATAATGTCTTCGGTGCACACCGTACAGCGCCTTTATCCACTAGAGTAAACGTGGTGCAAAAGCGATCCATAGTTATTCGAATTGCAGACTCTGCTGCGCGATTATGTAGACCGAATTTATGATGCAGCTGCGAGTGAATTGAACCATTATTTTGGTTATAAATTTGCACGATTTGCAAACTTTTTTCCAAAGTAGATCTGTTCATCATGAAATGCCAAACCCACCAGAGCATAAATCAAGGCACATCAGTCAAAAAGACCAGCTTGGCAAAAAGTATTGCCTCACTGAAAAACCACACGTCTAAAAAAATTTGTTTAACAGTTAATAGTTAGTTAAACGTATTTTTCCGATTCTTAGCCATCAATGGATTAGATGTTGATAAATTGCACACCGTAAAAGTAGATAATGTCAAAAAAATTAAAAAGCAATTTTTTATATTTTTTTAATTTTTTATTTTTCTATTTTTAAGTAAAGGTTCGTTCATCGTTTGTTTATTTTTTTATATCAATTGTTCTCTAATACCTTGTAAAATAATCTGTGAATGTTTTGGAAACCTTAAAGACGTATTTTGTATAAATTTACCTTTATATATGTATGTTCTAACATTTACTCACAAATATTGTAATCGAAAAAAAGTGAAAAAGTTGATTTATTTTTACATTTTCTATCCAAATCAATCCATTTGTTTTTTTTTTTTAATGGACCCAAACAACCAAGTGGTTGAGCGGATATTAAGTTGTTGTTTTTTAACGTATTGGAACGAAGAATATAAATTTTTCTGCCGAAACATTTTTAAAATGTCGGCCCTACGTAATTTTGATACACTTTCGTTAAATAATTTTTCTTTCACAAATTCCTCACTGAAAAAAATAGAGGTAATAAATTTAAGAACTCTTCCCTACAAAGGTCTTAATTGGGCCTACCTCTTTTATGTTAGCATAACTTTAGGCACGACGTTTTACAGAGGCATATAAAGAAGTATTTTTTTTTTATAACTTAATTTTCCGATTAAACCAATATTCGACTATGCTAAGGATCGTCGGTTTGAAACCAGGCAAGACGAAAATGCAATAATTTATGAAAAAAATGGTATGCCAACTTCTCAGATTGTATTTCTTCAGTGAAAAGGTAGGATAGTATGCAAAATTCTAGTTAATCACAAGTGTTTTAAAGACGAAATCATACAAACTCTCCACTAATACGACCGAAAGACATCTATGAGAAGCTTTTATTTTATCTCAGAAATGCACTCGGGGGGCTGGACATTCTCTGCCTATGGGGACCGACAAAATTTCATTTTCTATATTTTGGAAGTTGGTCGAACCAGGATACGCATACTGATCTTCATATTGACAGTACACAATGCTAACCACTCGGCTATTGCGGTCGCCGAAGATTAACTAGTTAGTGAAAAAATGCATTCTTTAAAAATTGGGAGAGATTTATTATTCATCGACTATCTTAAGAAGCGAAAAACCAGAAACAGTGATATTTTTTTTTTTAATTTGCGGCAAATCAATTAAAATAATGACATAACTTCTTGAATTGAACTTCGAATTGAATTAGCATCAGTTACAATTAATGAAATTTTGGGACATTTGAACAGCAAATAAAAAGTATTTAAAATTCGATCTTCAATTTCCGACAGTCAACGAAAATCGAAACATGAACGCCGTTCATTAAATTTTCTGTTTTCTTTGTTTATATATTATTTAAAGTTAAATAAATGCAATTTTTTTAGCATAAAAAAATTTTGGTTCCAGCCTGAATATATGTAAATAATTTAAAGCTCTATTTTTCGCTTAAATAATTCTCTGATATAAATAATTCTCCCAAATGTAGGCAGCGTTTTATTGTAAGTGCGAAAAACTAAAAAAGTAAACATCTAAAATATTGCCTATTTTCAGACGTTGTGGACTTGCAAGTTTTTTAGTGAGGGGTGCATACGTTTTTTGTATGATTCTTACTCATCTGCTTAGCAAATATTTGCCATATGATCATATTACGTAATAACATACTTACGAGCGCTTCCAGCAACTGGAGCAGAATTGTTTGCTCAATCTGATGTCATAGCTATAATTCAATTAATGGTGAAATCCTACTATACTATACAAACACACATATACTGTTAGATATGTATGTATTGACAAATAATAATAAGTAATTCTTCTACGCTGACACTTCTGTTTCAGAGCAATTTGATTCCTATATACGTGAGCTTATATTCAATTCATTTATTTTAAACATTTACGTATTTACGCTGGACTTGCCAGTCATTTGGACCCGAATTTCAGTCAATTGTTCGCATATAGCCGAACGGCTACCATTGGAAGGCCAGAATTCGATCCTTGATCCGACCAACATTAAAAATTATAAAACATTTTTTTCTCTAATTGCCCTTGTTCCTCGACAGAGAATGTAAGGACTTACTCCGGAACCCTGTTTGCAAATCGTGTAAATTTATGACAAAAATAATGGATCGGGCCGGGCGACGCATTGCGCGCTGCGTCGAATATTCGCTCGAAATAATCGTCCGGCAGAGTCGGTAATTTGAGCAACCGAGAATCGCTTTCGCACCAAATTTATCGACGTGGATAATGTACATCCTCAGAGACACCGTAGAATGTGCGCCGCAGAGTAAGACTCGAATGGGTCCATCCGCCATTGCTCACAAAAATTTAGCGTAAGGGTCTTAGTTTGAGGACCTATAAAATCCAACTCGTGCAAGAGTAGAAGCAGAACGACCATCAAGCGCGTTATACGTTCGATGAATGGGCCTACAACAAGATAACAGTAATGAAACTCACTCTTGGTTGAATGGGTACGTTAATATATAAAATTCTCGCATTTGGAGTGATGATAATCCACAAATTATTGCCGTCATATTCTCAAAAAGTAGCGAAAATGAAGTTGGTCACAATCTTACAGTCAATGCGGAGGCTCTAGATCCACTATTGATGACTTACCCGTGCCTGAATTGGAGGATGTTGATGTGGAATACCTTTGGCTCCATTATTTCGCCTCGTGGGCTTGTGATGTCACCCAAGATCGTGCGATTTAACGTCCATGAACGTCCCTTGACGCGTTATTGCTGACAACGGCCCCAATAGCTACAAAAAACGGTTACGATCTTTTATGAGGAGTTTTCATTTCATGTCAGAAATACACTCTAAGGGTGGACATTCCCTGCCGAGGGGCGACCTCAATTAGGAAATTCGACTTACCTTTTCATTTCAA